GTGCTTAGTGTGGATCGAATGCTGGAGCTTCTTAGGAAAGGCAACGCCAATCGCCAAACAGGGGAGACAAAGATGAACGAGACGAGCTCACGGTCTCACGCCATTATTCAAATTACCATCTCTCAGAAGTATGGTTCTCTGGAGATGCGGGATGTAGAAAGTGTGGTGTTGTTGGTGGATTTGGCTGGCAGTGAGCGGCAGAGTAAGACGGAGTCCACCGGGGTCGCATTTGAGGAGGCCAAGAAAATTAACCACTCACTCTTGATGCTGGGTCGGGCGATGAACTCATTCAGTGACCGTAAGGGAGGCGATGCATTCATTTCGTTGCGCGCCTCAAAGCTAACTCGTTTACTGTCGGAGAGCTTTGGTGGTAACAGTAAGACGTGGATGCTTGCAACCGTATCTCCTGCAGCAACCAACTTGACAGAGACCGTCTCCACCCTGGAATACGCTCAGAATGCCATGGCCATAACAAACAAGGCGAAGGTGAATGATACCAAAAAGAATCTTGATCTTAAGCGTCTTAAAGAGCTTATTGCGGTGTTAGAGGGCAAGCTGGATGCTGCTGGGCTGGAGAAGGCAAGGAAGCAGGAAGAAATTGGACGTTTGATTCAAGAGAGGGATGCACTAGAGCAGGGGGTTGCGTATGCCGATAATCATCACGACACCAAGGACAAACTGGAGTTGACTCTTAACAACCTTCGGCTGAGCAATATCGCTCTTCGGAGGCGGGTGGAGGCAGCTGCAGGAGGTTTCATTCGTTCTCTTGATGACAAGTCTTCGTTTTTGTTTTTTAAGGGCAGGTGCGGCATTACGCTAGAGAGTGTGCTTCTTGGGCAGCGGCGTTCCTTTTACATTGGCTTGTTGACGGAATGTGGTGTGCTCACAGAGGCCACGTTGCACATTCAATTGTTCCCGTGTGAACCGCACGCCACTGAGCGAGATGCTCCAATGGGGTTGATTGAGAAGCGTCTGCGCTTCTGTCTTCATGTTGTGGGTGCATCAGGCATCCCCAAGGCCTTTGTGGCGCACACGTTTTGTAAATTTACTCTTTTATATGATCGAGAAGAACGCTATTTTACGACATCAACAGCTGACAATACGGAAAACCCTCACTGGGGCTGCGTGCGGATCTTTGACATCCCCAAGTTGACTGCAGAGGTTATACGTTGCTTTTGTGAGCGTCCTGTGTTTACATTTGAGGTATTTGCATTCAACGCGTGAACAGCTGCTGGTTTACCCTCCCCCCCTTTTTTTCTACTCATTTTCTTGTTTCCTTTCTCGTGGCATCATCTTCTTTGTTCACTATATATATATATATATATGCATATGTGTAGAGTTTTTTTTTTTTTGCATCTTTTACTTCACAGCCGCTCGTATAGGGTGGCTTGGAGAGACGTCCTTGTCGTTCTTCCCTGCTGCTTTTGTGAGGAATAATTTCTTTTCTGGGTGATGTGCTTTTCACATTCAATTATTATTATGTCTTTTTTTTCGCTGGTGATTTATTTTTGCTGGAGGGGTTTTTTTGCAATGTCTGCTTTACGGGAAGGCGTCTTTGGAAGATGTGCCTGCGCAGTAGCGCGGTAAGGTGTGCGAGGCCGTCACCAAACAACATGCGCGACAGGGTGACATTGCAGCAGGTGCCAGGTAGGGCTTCCGACAATTTCCACTCCGTCTTCTGCCATTGATTTCTTTACGTCTTGCTGTTCACCCGCTGCAATATCTCGGTGGAGCACGTTCCTTCGGTTGTCGTAGCAAGGCAACCCCCATTTTCTCCTACGACGAACATGCACTGAATGTTTCAGGGAAAGGAAGGCGTGCTATGCTGGTTGGACCCATTCTGCGACAGTGACGTTGCTGCTTCATTTTTGGGAAGGTCCACGCAGTAAGGCAATTGTAAATGTTTCATGGAGAGCGTCGCTTGTGACATCGATACTGATTTTGTGATAGAAGTTTGAGGGGGTGGTGAAGGCAGTTTTGGGTGAAGGCGTGTGATATGATTATTGTTGTTTTGCAAGAAGTGCCGAATGCAGGAAACTATGGGTTCTGTGATTGTAGGATATGTTGCTCCTCTTGGGAAGGGTGGTCGTGGTCGACAAGAATGCGCAGATCACGGATGTCACTCGGCATGGGGCCCTCTGATGACGCATCATGCTTTTCTGCTATTGCCAGGGCGAGTTTTTTTTTGTGTAGATGCACCTTTGTGCATGTGCAGTGTACATGCATGCGTATTTGTCCGTTGGAGGTTCCTTGTTTTCTTAGTTTGTCTTGCTTGCTTGCTTTTTTTTTTGTCTTATTGTTCACCCCCATTCTCGCATATATATATATATATATATTTGCTTTTTTCGGTAGGGCAGGTATGTCGTATAGAAGGTCTACACGCCTCGGAGGGTGCGAAATGCCACTATCACCACGGTGCAGTCCCGCGCCGTGTCGTAGCTTAACTGCGCATGCACCAAGGTCTGTTTGTGCTACACTGCGCTCCCCACACGTTGCGACGCCATTCCTGTCAGAGAAAAAATGCCTTGTCAAGGGCACGAACTATGGAAGCGAGAGTGCTCACGCGGTGAGGCCCATGTGTAGTGAGAGTCTTACCACGGGAGGAAGCATCTCTGGTCGCAACGACATCCTGAGTCAGAGTATGCCAATGGAATGTTCTCGAATCTCCGTCACTTCGTTACGCAATGAGCTTCCAAAAGCATCAAAATGCACTCTGGAGCGCAGTCATTCATCTCGGTCATCCATATTGCCCTCGGCGCGGCCGCGTGCTGGATTTCGACGAGGCCTTGCTAAGGCTCCCTGCACTGCTGACAAATTCTTTATTCCGCCAGTACGCGCCGCTGATGAGGGAAAACTAGTGGTTGTTCTTGACCTCGATGAGACGCTTGTATACGCACGTACCGGTGTGATTATTCCGCGTCCTGGAATAAACCGACTTCTTGACGTGTTGCGTGGACGCTGCGAAGTGGTCGTCTGGACTGCGGGGGAAAAGTGGTACGCCATGGAGGTATTGCACCAGATAGATCCTCAGTGCTGCATCCAACACTGCGTCTATCGTCATGAAAAGTGGTGGACTGATAGACCTGGTTATATGAAGGACGTGGCAGCGTTGGGTCGTCCACTCCACCGGACGATTATCATCGACAACACACCCGATTGTTTGCGGGCAAATACCCGAAATGGGCTTCTAGTCAAGGATTTTAAGGGCCTATATGGGGGGTGCCAAAGGTTTGACAACACTCTCTTTGTTCTTGCAGACGTCATTGAAGACGTTTTGAGTGGCTCAAAGGTCTCCATTGACGCCTTCCACAACCACCCGGATCTTCAACGTCGTTTTGTTCAGTGCGACACAGGCGGCGCCATTGAGGTTCTTACGCTTAAACAAGACAACTTTGCTCACTGTGACCCTCCAAGACGCCACCGTGTGACATCCTTACGAGTACCAAAGTATCATCTGTGGCGTCATCTGCTTGGAATGTAATTGTTTCTCAGGTCATTCCCATCCATTGTACTGCTACTACCACTTCTAATACATCATAGCGGTATACGTTCTTTTGGCTTGTGTGTGTATTACTGACCTTTCCTTTCCTTTCCTTTCCTTTCCTTTCCAAAACTATCAATATGCAGGCAAAACATCGTTTTGGTACTTTTTTTCCTTTTTTCCTTTTTCCAGTTATGTTTCCATATGAACTTCCTTGTTTTGTTCGAGTCCGCAGGGAGTGTTGTATCAGACCTGGGGAAGGAGGTTCAGCAATGGGCACAGTGAGCCTCAGGTTTCTCTCGTTTGGCACGTACTGCTTTCGTTATGGGTTGGTTTCCCTAACGTTTTTGTGCTTTATCTTTGTGTGTGTATATATTTTTGATTTCGCACTTTTTTGAAAATGTATTTATTGGAAGTCGCATTTTTTATCTTCCTTTTTTTGGTGTGTGTGTGTATATATGTGACTCAATTCAAATGCCGTCCTTTGAATCTGACGAGGATGGTCAAGCTTTGCAACGACTGAGTGCTGCTTGCTGGCAGTGTCTGACGGCACAACGAGAGACATGCCTGAAGGCAAATAACGAGCCGGACGATTCGTGGCACTGGGAAGAAAAAAATTTTTCTCCCGTTTCTATGTCTGCTTCCTCTCTTTTCTTTTACTGTTTCTATGGTTTTTTAGGTGGAAACAGGACTTGTGGTGGGGTCTGAGAACCTTCCTACCATGCATCCACGCACTCACGCACAGGCGGGGAGATGAGCGCAGTGTAGTATTTTTTTTTGTTCCACTTTTTTTTTGTTACAATTGATCCTCTTTTTTTTCCCCCCTTTTTTTCTTATGTTTTACTTTTCTCCCTCCCTCGCCAACAACAATATGTGCCTACTTTGCAGTCATGGTGGAGGTAATCCCGACGGCCTGCAAGGACTGGTCACTGAACAAGGATGAGGCCTCTGGGCGGTTGTTCTGGTGGAACGACAGCTACAGCATTAGCATTTGGGACAATAACCTCACTTTAGGCCAGCCACAGCAGGAGTTGACAGATCTTCTTGTGTGGCGAGCTTTTCTGGAGTTTCAGCTTTCTTCCGTGTACAAAGTGTGCTTTGTTTGCCACCAACCGGAGGGAAATGATGACTTGATGCTGTGCTGCTTCTGCGGCATTACGGTGCATGATGAGTGTTCTACAAAACCAACCGCCGAACAAATAGCTTGGAAGCCGGCTAACCACGGCTTTGAGCCTTACTTGCGGGTGTGTTTTAAATGCGAGAACACTTCTGCTCCGACCAAAATTCGGGCTAAAGTGGAGCCAAGCAATTCACGACGTGTGGCTATTCGGGCCTTGTCGATTGAAAAGGAATATCCCAATCACATTTGTCAGGAGCTTCAGCGCCTCGCGGAGAAAACAAAGCAGCCTCATTCCAAGGCTGAGGATGCGTTCCTTATAGCATCCCTGCGGCAGGTTCTCACTCCATTCTACCAGTCAAAGGCGACATGTCGCTTTCTAAGGCGGGAGAGACGCCCAGAGAAGGGGAACGGTATTGGTGTTGTAGCAGCAGAGGATATTCCTGCCTTTACGATTGTGGGCCTCTATCCCGGCTACCTTGATGTGCTGAGCGGAGAGCACGTCAAGCTGGGTCGGCCAGTCACCAAGTACGCGCTAATGGACTATAACTGTGCCGATTACGATAATGTCGTTTTTGAGGAGTTTCAGGGGACATTCACACCCTTCATTAACGAGCCATGCGAGTTTGAGGAGAGTAACTGCGGGTGGATACAGGAGGAGAAGCATTGCGAGGGACGCCTTAGCATTATGACCGCGCGGAACATTAAAGAGGGGGAGGAACTACTCATTGGCTATGGACCATCATATCCAAGATCGTATCCCTACCGGTACGATGCCTTGACATTTCACAAGACTGAGACAGAGTTCGACACAACCTGTTTTGCTCTCTGGCGCTGGTTGTCGACAGGCGAGAATGACGCCAGTTTGGTATGCTACGTGGGCTACGACAAGAGCAAGGATGCCTACTTTATGTGGGAAGCCGAGGCATCAAGATGAGACAGGCAAGTCTTAAGGTTAGGAAATGGGGCAGGTTCACTGTCACAGCACACACCTGCACATATGAATGTATTTTGAAGTACATAAAGGGTCTGCTGAGCAACTCTTCACTAACAAGCAACGAAAACGCGAAGCCAAATGAAATATAGAAAAGGTGACTACACAGTTGTGTAGCTATTACATTTTCGGTGGATTGCCCCGTCGAGCACCTCTCCGTCTACGATTAATTACGTGCAGTGTTGGGCGTTTTGTAAGAGCCTCTGAGTAGCCAATTTATTTTCTTTCCCAGGAATTATTTTTTTCTCTTTCCTTCCATTTTCTGCTTGCTTTCTATGTGCGTGTTTACAAGGTGAAAATTGAACCCGAGTGCAGGATGACTCTTAGTCATTATCTCCGTTTGCCGCTTGGGCTGGTCGTTATTCTGCTTTTGTGCACGCAGATTTTTGGTCCTCCCGTGGCAGAGGAGCAAATCTCGGAGTCTATACAGTCAATCTCAGCCCAGTACTTCAAACTTGTGGAGCGGTCAATGAATGACACCTTGCGAAAGCTTATAGATCAAGTGGATTCCAACGGGGATGGTCAAATTCAGCTGGAGGAGGTTCAAAGCCTTGCATTCACTGCACTTCGGCGAGTCCGGAATGCCGGAATGCACGCAAAGGAAATTAGTAGAGCTCTCTCCCATATTACATGGACAGAGCTGTTTTGGCGGTATTTTTGTCTGCAGCTGTTGTTCTTGTTTTCTCTTTTTGTATTTGAAAATCTGCGATGCCTTATATTTACTTCTCCGCGTCGACTTCTTCTTGACGACTCCTACTTGACTGCAACTCCACTTGAGGTTGGCCCAGAGATTGCGTTGAAATATGACACTCCATGGACCCCGTATGAGCGAGTTAAAATGGCGTTCTTTGCAGTAACTGGACTTTTGTTCTTGCGTATATTTTGCGTGTTTTTTTTTGTCGTACTTTCATTTTTTTTAATGAGTCTTTGCAGTTGGCGCGGTCGAACGCGTCTTGACAACCCGCTTTGGTTTTACGTAATGAGCAGCACAGCCTGTTTCTGTGCTACTGTTGGCTCAATCTTTGCTGGTATATATCACATGAAGATGTTTGGACGCGTTGCAGATGCGTCCACGTGTAAGATATTGATTGGGAACCATTCCTGTGTCATGGAGGTTATTGTGCTTTTTATGCTGGGCAATTTTCCGTCATTTGTGACGCGGGAGGAGAACTGCGAGAAGGCCCCATTCTTTGCAGATATCGCGGAAGCCGTATCTGCCATTGTTGTGGACCGCAACGATGCACGCTCCCGTCAGCAGGCCGCTGCTGCCATTAAAGCACGCGCGAAGGATCAAAGCCCCAACGCACCCCAACTTCTTGTTTTTCCGGAGGGTACCACATCGAATCAGCGAGCACTTTTTATGTTTAAAAAGGGGGCTATGGAACCTGGTGAGCCGTTGCAGATGATTTGCGTAAGCTTTCCCTACAAGCACTTCAATCCATGTTGGACGGGACGCGCCTGCGGTGGAAACAATTTTAGTGACCTTGTTGTGCGTCTGTGTTCGCAGTTTGTAAACCATCTGGAGGTGCGGGCACTGCCGGTGTACACCCCCACAGAGGCGGAGAAAAAGGATCCATTCCTGTACGCGAAACACTGCCAGCAGATGATGGCTGCCGTCCTCCGCTGCAACGTCAGTTTATGTACATTCAATGACTACGAAGCATTGTCAAAAGAGACGACACGCACGTAAAATGTTTGAGCTGCATTGCATTGCCCCACAAATATATATATATATATATATGGAGCAACTGTACAAGAAAGGCGAATTTACGACAAAAAGACTATGATTTTATATACTGATGAGGTGTGGTAGCGCGGAGGCAGCGTGCCACCCTGAGTTTTTTTTTTTGCGTTTTTTTTCCTCCCCCGCCCACGGAAACAAAAATAGCAAGGTGTATATATATATATATATGGCTCACTGCGCTTCCATGCGACCTTTCTTAGGCCTTCTCTGTGTCCTTTTTTGTGAATGTGTGTGCTTTGTTGTATTTTTTTTTTTTTTTTTAAGCTGCGAAGCTCCACGGGCGAGGAGACGGAAGCAAGGGAGTCTGGGGATGGACATGGGGCCCTATGACCAGCGTGAGACGCCGTCGTTTTCGATGGACCTCTTCGCAGACCGCGTCAATAGCATTCTTGAAGCGCCGCTGCCAAAGTGTCTTCGACTGAAGGGAGAAGATAAATACGCGCATCCCATGTCCAGCCGTGTGGAGTTGCTTGCGCACGGGGCCGTGTCGCCGCGTTCGACCATGATAGTTTCCCCCGCTGCCGTGCGAGTGAACAGCTGTGGTTCCCAGAAGGGGAAACCGATTCACGAGACGTTGCTTGAAAAAGGACGACTGATGTCGGAGAAGAAGGAGACGATGCGACTGCAGGCGTTGGAAGAGGAGATGAGAGAACTGCGCCCGGCACCTAACATTACACATGAAGCGGCGCGAAGGACTCCGCGACGAGAGCAGCGGATAGAGGACCGCCTACTGCAGCGGGCGAAAGAAGCAGAGGAGCGCCGGGTGCTAGAGGCGAAGCAGCGCGAAGAGGCATTCTCAAGGGAAATGGCTGCGATTGCCCCATTTCAGCCGAATATAACACGCGAAGGTAGACACGCAACCCCAAAGGCTCGAAAGATGGCCCAAGATCCCCAAGAGGACTGGGATTGTCAGCGCAAGCAGCGTAGAGAGGCGGCACGCACAGCGAAGTTACTGGAGGAATTGAATGAAGTTCGCGGGACGCCAATTATCAATCCTCGCTCAGAATGGCTTGCGGCTCGTCGGCGGAAAAAAGAGGGGTTATCGAGCTTAGATGTAATTGATGCACTTATGGAGCGGGACCGCATTGCACAATTGAGACGGTGGGAACAACACGAGCTTGGAAAAAAGACGGAACACATTCCCCAAATTACATTATATGCTGCCACACTTCAGAGAGAAGGTGATGCAGCCGAGCGGTTGTATACAGAGAGTCACAAGAGGGAAGAACGCCGCTTGCGGAAGGAGGAAGAGTGGATATCCGATGGTCCGACATCCTTTACACCAAGAATTAGTCCATATGCGGCTACGACACCGCGTTTCCGTAATGTGGAAGATGAGCTTATGCAAAAGCATATGCAAAGTGTCGCATTGAGGGAGGAAGCGTGGCAACGGGAACAGGAGAAGGAGCTACGACGTCATCAACCCATGATTAATCCTGTAAGTGAGGCAATTGCATCAAGACTTCCTGAAAGTTCATATGAGCGTTTGCATCGTCAGTCGAGACGCACACCCAAGCACAAGGACCCAGCAGCAGCTGACCTATCGTTTACTGGGAGTTTTGTTAGTGGTGGCCGTGTGGCTTCTCTTCCCGACTCTATGGCAGGGTCATTGCGGTCTTACGAGGAGTCTCGGCGTGAAAAGCTGCGGAAGCTTCAGGAGAAGCAGGAACAGATGCAACGAGAGGAGTGTACTTTTGCACCTCTCACAAACACGCGAGATTCCAAGGTTGGGGGCCCAGAACATGTTGCCGCGAGAAACCAGCAATGGCTTGCACGCAAAGAATGGAAATTGCGGGAGCTGCGCCGACGAAAGGAGGCAGAGAAGGTGAAGGAGTGCACTTTTAAGCCAGAACGTGAAACTTTAATGACTAGTTCCTCACGTGATGGGGAGAGTATTTATGGTGGTGATGGAACGCCCTGGGGCGTACAGGAGTACCTTGAGCGGCAGGAAGCAGCCCGTCGCCTCCGGAGAGAGCGTGAGATGCGGTTGCAGCAGCGTCCGTCAAGTGCTCCACGTTTGTCGTCGACGACGACTCCGCAGGAGTTTGACTTGGGCAAGCGTGACGGCGTGTCTGTGCGCAGCCTGCGACGTCCCCCGCGGGTGCGTCTCTTGTCACCCGATTTGGACGATGACTCGCGCGTTTCCCATCCACCAGAGAAGCGGAATGGGGATGCCTTGTCCGTGTACGAGCGTATTTATAATCGCATCTACGGCACCGTCGTTAATGGTGCTGACCATGGCGACGTAGGCAGTGACGGAGCAGGGGGTTCACTTTGCGTTGCTCCTTCTTTGTATCGGTGATAATGAGGCGCCAGTGTGGTTTTATTTGTATCATCTCTGTCAGGTCCATCTTTTATTCTTTTGGCTTCGTTTTTCCATTTTTTTTTTTTTTCCTTTTTTAGACAACTGGAGGATTTGTTGCCTGATGTCTCACGCACTGTGTACATTTGACGTGCTTTCGTTTGGAACATCCTTCCCTCCCTTTCCTCAGACTTACACTCGCCTCTACATACTTTTTTGCTTTCGCTCTGCGTATGTAGTCTCACATGTTTTACTCTTTTGTGGTTGGCTCGTTTCCCAGCACCGTCTTTTTTTTTTTTTGTTCTTGTTGCGTGGGGGGAGGCAACAAGCGCTAAAACTTTTCTCGTCGCACAACTGTTTCGTGTGGAAAGTGGGGAGGATGCAGATGGTGGACGCCGCTGCGAGGAGGAAAACGGTTTTCAGCGCGGGTAGTGGGACCGGTGAGATTGAGGCCACAAAGGACGTTTTTGTGGACTTGTACAAGGACGCGGCGACGCGGCGGCAACGCCGGAAGGAGACAGGACGACCGTGTCCCAGTGACGCGGTTTCCGTTGCGCCTTTCTCGTTTGAAGAGAGTTTGCGTTCACAGGAGCGGAATAGAACACCACGACAGGCTGACGTGGTGCGACCTGGCTCTGCAGAGGGGGTTACGCAGCCTGGCTTTACCAAATTCCAGACGAACAGGCGTATCGATAGTCTGGCTCTTCCTCGTGGGCCTTACAAAATGTTGGTTCATCCACCTTCGCCCAACTACGGCCGTGTGCTAAGCTTTACCGAGGAGGAGGCGCAGAGTAAACGAGATCAGGATTTGTTACGCCCACGTCCACTTTTGCGTCCACCGCGACTGACGATTCCACTGAGTAACCCGGCACTAAATCGCTTGGCCACACCAAGAGCAACTTCACGGGTGACACCCATGTCTCAATGCCGCTCTGGTTCCCGTGAAGAAGGTCATCCCATTATTTTTATGAACCAGGGATCCCGTAGATTTCGTTTTTAGTGTACACGTAGTTTTGCGATTTCTTTCCAATACATGGGTGGGCTCCTTGCATCCGCGGATAGTGAGTGAGAGAAGGGAACCCCTCGTTATTACTATTTTGCTATTACTTTTCTAACCTTTTTTCTAACTTTCTGTGAGAGAGGTTTTGGGTGACTATTATATTCTGGTGGTTCCATTTACTTGTCTTTATTCATATTTTCATGCGTGTGTGTAGACTTCTTGTTGTGCCTGTGTGGAGCTGCAGCTACAATGGTCGTTTGCGTGCGAAGACTGACAGGACGAGTGAGTGATGGAAATGAGCCGAGCCTCCCCAATTTGTTCATGCGTTGCCCTTGATATATCTATGTATATGTTTTTTACCTTCCCTTTTCTTGTGTCGTTTTTTTTTAATTATTTTTCTATGTGTGTGTGTGCGTATTGTGTTTCTGCATGTATGCGCGGGACGTCTCACAGGCGGCCGCAGTTGCATGACGACGAACCTGAAAGCACTTCCGGTTGTTCTTGCTGTCGTTGCCTGCATTGTAGTTCTTGTGGTAGGTATAGTTCTGTGTTGCCGTGGAAAGCGCGGGGGTGACCCGGCGACGTCAGCGAATTGGTCCAGTCCTCTTCTTTTGGACAAGCATTCATTACCTTTTGAGAGTACGCGCGAGGAATGGGCGCACTCATTCGGGGATCTTGCCTCATCGCATGCACGGCGGATTTCGGAATGGCTACTGGAGGTTCGTCAGGCCGTTGACGGTAGCGTTGACTTGTCCGCCGGCGGCGGGATTTCTGATCTACCGAGTGTCACTGTCAAGGGCTCTCCGGTGACAACGGCGTCCACACACTTTCATTTAGATGCGTCTCCTGGGATGAATAATGAGCGGTCGGTCTCTGAGTACGCGACCTACAGTCCTTGTGTGTCGGCCGTGGAGGGAGCAATCAATTTCCGTGTGGGGCATCTGGACCCGCTGCGTCGCTAGCAAAAGGTTTCCTCTCTAGATGCATGTGCTGGTTTACATGGACGCTGTTTGGGTTTTTGTCCCCCAATTATTGTTATTGCTACCATTGTTATTTGCATCGGCGTTGCGGAATATATAACGGTTCCGTTTAACTTGTAGAGGAGTGTCTGTGTATTTCGCAGGGCTGTAGTTGTCGCGACCGCGTCACGACAGTTTCCTTAGTTAAATGCGTTGTGGTATCCTTGGCTTTGCCCCCCTCAACCCCTTGCAATACGCGTCTTCGCCCATTTTCACCACCGTTGTTTGCAGGGTCAATGCGCTTGCGGCTGCCACTGCTGCCGTAGGCCCCAACCATGTACTGCGAAGCGAGTGGAAATGAAGTCAAGGCGGCAAAGAAAATAAAGACTCAGACGCGAACGCAAGGAACAATTTGACGCGTGTGCATACAGCATAAACGGTGCAAAGCTCAAACTCACCCTCTTCTCTCTCTTTCCCGACGAGCGTGGAGTCTGGCAGCAACAATACGAATTATCTTTGCCTTGCTTGCACACTTTTGTTTTTTGTTTTTAACCTATGCCCCGCCCTTTTCTTTAGTCGGTTATTTTGTTTTTTTTTTGTTTGTTCGCTTGCATAACACCTAGCTCCAAAAGGGGACGGGCCGAAAATAATAATAAACAGAAGTGGCTGTGTAAGCAGACAGGGATTGGAGTCACACACCTGAGCACACACGAGGACGGAGGGATCCCACAGAACGCTGATTAGGGCATTGAATGGGCTGTGGCTCAACGAAAGAGTTGGAGCGGCTGCAACCCGCAGATGTGGGTCTCCTCTCGGGAAGTCATCCACTGAAGCTTGATATTTCTTTGTTGAGGAATGTGGGGGCGCTGCCCGCGATGCGGATGCCTGGAAAGGATAAATACATCAAAGAGCCAGGGGCAGTCGTGATGGATGACTGCCGGGGACCCGGCCGAGGGGGTGGTAATACGGCATCTTTTGGAGTGTTGCTTTTGTTTTGTGCGGCACACACGGACAAGCTTACTATTTCGTACTATGAGAACGCCACCCGCGCCATTTATGCCAAGTGCATGACAGACAGGGAACTACTGGCCTCTAAAGAGGCTGCCGGCATACCAGTGATGTGGGGCCATTTTTTCAAATCGCTTGCGTCAGACGTCTTGAAAAGTAGGGCCGTAGTAAAATCTTCCAAAACCAATACAAAAATTGTGTGCTTTAAGATTATTAGCAGCAAGGAACCGGATGTGAAGTACGATTATGCGTGTGAGCTTGTGGCGGTCTCCGGTGCTGGGGCTGCGGCGGATCAGCGCGCGATGTTTGAGTATTTTGTTGAACCCATGATATGCATGCTGCGGGTTCGCCGGCGTAGTTCGGCAGGGTCATCCCGTGGCAACGTCTTGGAAAAAATGGAGTGTGACTACGCCGTAAAAATGGCAAGATTGCGACAGTACAAGGCGAAACTACAACTAATTATGAAAACTGTGACGCCACTACGGCAGGAGGCTTCTATCAAATCTGCGCAAACGATGAAGTTGTCACTCGAAGCAAAATCTCTTGAGAGAAAACTTCACATGCTATATGACGGACAAAGCGATAAACACCCGCTCGACATTCTCTATGAGAGGGGCGGGGCACAACATTTCCAGCACGTTTCACAGGCGGAAGATTGTTACCCAGTTGAAGAAAAGGCGGATCAAGGTATTTTGGCATGCATCCGGGCTGCGTTTCCTCTTGCTCCAGGAACCACTCTTGATAGTATTAGCTCTGTGTTAGATCGCACCGAACTGCAGTTGTGTCTTAGTGATTCCTCCCGACAGTTGGTGAGGGATATGTTTGGCATCTTTACTGGTGTGGATAGATGGGACTACGATACCATTCAGCTGGATATTCTTACGGATGGTAACGCCCTGTTTTTTACAACCTACATGCTACTTTACAAGCTGGACCTCGTCGCGCACTTTAAGCTGGATGACACCGTGCTGCAACGGTTCCTTCTCGGCGTTCAGGCTGGGTATCACCCCAACCCATACCACAACGCAATGCATGCCGCTGATGTGACACACATAAATTATTACATCATGATGGTAGCTGGTTTGAAGGAAAAGTGTCAGTTGAGCAAGGAGGAGGTGCTAGCAGGAGTGATTGCCGCTGCCATCCACGACTTTGATCATCCCGGCCTGAATAACAACTTTCATGCCAAGACGAATGCCTACCTTAGCACACTGTACAATGATCGATCCATACTTGAAAACCACCACGTTGCTTGCGTTTTTGAACTTATACTAAACCCTGCATACAATGTTTTCGCCCCGCTTAGCAAGGAACAAATGCAGGTTGTGCGGGAAACAATGATCGAGATGGTTTTGGCCACGGATATGGGAAATCATGGACGTATTTTTAAGCAGTTTCAGCTTCGCATGGCAGAGACCACGGATTGGCATTCGTCCAAGGAAGATGTTCGTTTAGCACTTTCCATGAGCGTAAAAATGGCTGACATCTCCAACTGTGCCAGACCAAACTACATCTACATGGAATGGGCACGTCTTATTTCCTGCGAGTTTTACAATCAGGGAGATGCAGAGGCAGCGTGCGGGCTTCCTATTTCTCCCTTCATGAGCCGTATGAAGAGTGTGATGGAGTTCCCCAATGGTCAAATATCGTTTATGATGTACATTGTAGTGCCTTTGTTGGAGGCCCTCTCGGAGTTTCTGCCTTCGCTTCGCTTTGCGCTACAGTACTGTAACGAAAATAAGGAGTCGTGGCAGAATTACCAGGAGGAACGTAGTTGAAAGTTGTCGAAGGGAACCATAGGGCACAACCTTCACACCCGGTGATTATTAATCTTCTTCCCTGAAGTCTGTACTTATTACCTTGGTTTTCTTGGACCTGGGGCACTTCCCATCTTTTTTTTTTTTTCTTTGTATGACAGTCTGTTTAAAGTTTTTTTTTTTATTCCGTCTGAAATATGTATAGCAGGATGTGCTTAGTGTAGAGCGGCACATACCATTTTGTCTTTTTGCGGCTTTCTTTTGTTTTATTTAATCTGAGTGTATGTGGGTGTGCTTTCCTATTTGTCTCCCGCTGTCTTCTTCCATGCACGGCGCGCCTTCCTAGACTCGCACTGTGATGCTTTTTTTTCTACTGTTGTTGTTTTTGCACATTGTTTTTTTTTTTTTTTTTTTTTGGGGGGGGGGG